ACTCCATGTATATCGTATGTATGCCGCGGAAGTGTATATCACGACTGGCGCCTTGCTTCCATGCCACCCTGGCACCACTGTCGCAACAAAGGTCTCATATCAGGATAAACCCTGATAGAACGTGCCGCGATATATGGACTTTGTGTCGCCATATGGGGTCAGCATATCCAGTCAGGGTATGTCCTATCGCAACATATAGATTCCATGTCACGACATGGGGGCGGGGCACTTTTCCCGGGATGTCATATCGCGACATGCAGACTTCATGTCACGACATGGACGTGAGAGGTTTTGGCCATATCGCGATATATGGACTCCATGTCGCGACATGAGGACTGGGCGTTTTGGCTGTGCATGTCATATCGCGATATAGAGCCTTTCATGTCGCGACATGGGGCAGGGCACTTTTGCCGGGATATGTCATATTGCGACTTGCGGACTTCATGTCGCGACATGGGCATGACAGGTTTTGGTCATATCGCGATATATGGACTCCACGTCGCGACATGGGGGGGGGGCATTTTGGCTGAGCATGTCATATCGGGATATATGGCCTTTCATGTCGCGCCAGTCGCAATGGGTATCGCGATGTGATCATGGTGCGCGCACTCCTATCCTGATATGCTATCGGAGTCGTGAACGGGCTGTGGATGTGTTACTGTATATCCAGCGTGCTCATACAGCACACACGGTACACACAGAACTTCCGCTGTGGCGCTTTACCCAATCAGAGTGTCGATTTTCACTCTTCACCCAATCACGGCCCGAGCTGTTCGGGGGTTTAGCCAATCACGGGTCTGAGAGCTTTTCCTGCTAGCAGCGCCAGTTGGATCGGCTTGTGTACTGCCAATACTTTACTTATTTTTACTTAGATTTTTTGTCCCGTACTATTCGAAACAAATACATTTTTTATTTGCAATATAAACGTCTCCGCTGCTTTCTGTAATTCATACATGGTTGTTGAACAACTTTAATCATATATTTAAGGTAGGGGAAACACCTGCTTTGTATTTCAAAAATGAATAGAAATATAAAGTGTATGATCATGATATTATTATGCTTGTGCTTTCAGTTTTGTTTTTTATTGTTAAATTATATCGATCTTGAAACTAATACCTAAAAATGTGAATATGGGCTCTCGTGTTGTACCAGCGGTAATTTGGAAACTGGTGTCTCTTCACCAATGAAAGGAGTCCACAAGCAATACATTTTCGAGAACGTGGTTAAAAACGAAAAGAAAACACCTAACCCAATGAACTAACATAGTAACTGCTCCCTAAATGTAAGACTGTTTATTCGTTTAAAGGCTGCCAAGTCTGGGGTCAACTGATCAAAAAATCACAACTGAAAGATCTGGTGGTCGTGACTTTGCGGTTTCGTGCGTCACAGAGTGACGTCACATACAGGAAAAGAAGGCGCTATATTGAAATACATTGAGACATCCACCCCACCCGACCAGACAGACTCAGAAAACAAATTGCCCCCATTGTTTTAATCACAATCAGGAGTTCAAGTACCGAGTTTGTTGGTACCTGTAAACTTCCTTGTAGATTGTCACGTGATTACCCGGAAAAACAAGGCGCTATATCTCGGAAACAAAAGCAACACAAACGCTACTTACAGTGACACAAACTGATCTTGCACAAACGCATCACTAACGATGGCGGTGAGTTTCGTCGTTTGTGCTGTTCGACGGGCGGGTGGCCAACTTCATGGAGCAGGACAAGCAGACATGTCCGGGTCATTACATTGAGGACTGCAGAAGACTCGACTTCACCTCAGGATCTAACACAGGCACCCATACCTGTGTCTTCAGGGGGCAGGTGTGCCCTCACGCTGTATTCTACACACCAAGGACTGGCCGAAAACACGAAGATAAAATAACTGTGAGCTCAACGCTTCATGTTTGCGCATAAGACCCCCTGTAAATACAAACTCACGGATAATGACAGTTTATTAAATAATTCATATATATGTTCCCTTCTGTTATGTGAAAATAATTTAATAAAATGTTTTCAATATTGCCGCGGTGTGAGACGGTGGACTTTCCAGTGTTGCTTCTCGTATGTGTTATTTACTACCCGCGACAACCTTGTACGTAGTGCCCCTTAAGAAACATCTTGGTTCTTTTTCACATTAACGAATGCGCTTTGCATAAAAAGTGCAACAGTGGTCTTGTTCGTAAAGTTGCAGATTCAAGCCTTTTTAAACACGAGGCTCCAATCTTTACACGTCCCTTGGTGCGCGTGTTTATTTAAGAAGGAGACCGTGAGAAACTGATCACTTCTTCAGATTTTTTTAAAAAAGCACACCGCTACGAAGTATTTAGACGTGCTCGTTAAAGCCTCTTGGTAAGAACATGGAATTGTCTACTAATGCTCACTTTTTGAGATTACACCCGCAACTCTGCTGATTAGGGTATGTGATATTCATGACAAATGTAATTTTCCTGCTAACACAAACGCACAGAAGACACTGATATTAAATGAAAAATTCACCGCCCCCCAGCAAACAGAGGAACAATTGCAGAACTGTTACTCTCGCACAGGTAACAGACGCTTGAGCTCGGCAGACGGGGGTCACTGGAGGTCAAAGTCACCTTGCATAGTCACGTGATCACCGGAAAAACAAGGCGCTATATCGCGGGAACGAAAGCAGCACAAACGCTACTTTCAACAGCACAAATTGACACAAATACAGCCAAAACTTTGCGTTCTTTTTCCAGCCTGGAATAAATATATTACTTGTTCCGTTGCAACTAACGAATAAGGTGGGTTTCATCGGTTGTGCGGTCTGTAGGGGGGCCAACTTCACGGAGCTCTAGGTAAACCCTGCATGGTATTTTAAATACAATATTTCGGACGGATTTTGAATCTTGCATTTTGCAATAAAATATTAACTTCAGAGTAGCTCGTAAAACTACTGAACAATTAAGTATTTTCGACTGCTTTTAGAACTGTTACAAGCAACAAGCGAAAACGAGCTCTTGCAGCTTTTCTTTAAAGAAAGTCCTCATATGAGAGACCTTTGCAAACTAGCCGTCATTTGAACGGGAATTTGCCGACTCTCTAGGCAGTGACGGAATTATCACCACATTCAATTCCAAGCCCCTTCAAGAACGTGTCTGAAAATCACTGCAGCAGGATGCATCATAAAATTGTAGATAAAGAAGCTTCTAATTTTCAAATCAAAGCATAAGACAAAATGCTAAGAGAAATGATTAGCACTTGCAAATTGTGCCAACAGAGGACTTATCTATGGGATAACACTTCAAATCTATATGAATTTAAACCGATTTTCATCCAAAGGGGGATCCGTTAGAATTTTTCTAACTTTTTAATTTTTATTGTAGTTCCAGGCTCTGCATAATCAAGGTTTTGGAGAGTTCAGATCCTGAAGACTTCTAGGTCACTCTGAGCCACCTGTTTCTTAAAGATTGATCAATGTAGCAGGGTACGTGTTCAATTAAAAGCCTTGGTCCTGAACAGCTGCAGGGTATTCTGATTAGCTAAATAATTTAGATCACTCAAAACAGTCACCTGATTCAGCGACTACAGTTTTTATTTCCAGGACGCTAGGCATTGATGATTTAATATGCTTCTTAAGCCTACAGGACAAGGGCTCTACAAGAGCACGACTGGGAAAATTACTTTAGGGATTAAATAAATTAGCAGATTAAATCTCCACCCATCTACTCGTTACAAATTAAAACCAAAGTGGTCAGCAACTGATTTGATGGAACAGAAAGAAGCCTCTGGTGAACTGGTGCCATCTGGAAGTGGGATTTAAAATCTATGGCTATTTCTTATTCTGTTGTACCCACTTTGGAGTCAATTTCCTGGACTTCTGTAGATTCCCCCCCATCTCTCTCCTTCATTTAGTTTTGACACTCCACTTTAAGCTTTCTGGTAAACACACAAAAAGTAGAAAACAGTCATAACACCTGAAGTAAAAACACTGATTCTTTTAGGATGAAAATATAAAATCCACGTTCTCTTCATTTATTCTATTTCGATGTACACAACTTTAGAATTGGATAAAAGCACACAAAAGGCTGATGTATGAAGATTTTTGTCACAGACAATCATTGTGGAAACAAATCTTGAGAATTACAAATTGATAAAAATATTAGAATTTAAATGTTTTAACATTTCTAATGCAGATAGATACAGGGACTGTCAAAAAGAAAAGTCTGCCACTTATCAAATTTTTGCAGATGCTATTAACGTTTTATTCTGTACATAGGACCATTTTGTACAAAATATGAAACCTAATGTTTAATAGATATATAACACTACATAAAACAAAGTACATTGTATGTACAATATTAAATGAAGCCATTTAGTACAGATCGCATACTAAAGGACACTTGCCGTTATTGTATTTCGGAAAGCACAAACAAACTTGCAGATGCTGAAGTAAAGCCACTGATGAAAGAAAAACAGTCACCAAAAACCATCTTTTTCTGCTTTTTTGTACGAATTCAGTAATTCATTGGTACCATTACAGCAATACAAAAAAAGCTCAAAGGTTGTTTCATTAGAAAATGCGGCACCATCCTGTAAAACAATTCAAACTATTAATATAACAGCAATATATCTTTGTTAAGAGGGAAAAATAGTTTGGTGATTGTTGTTCTTCAAGAAGAGAAGAAAAATGCTGAACATGGTAGTATATTTTACATTTTGCACATTCAACCAAACATTAAACAGACACAGTTGAGTGGGCAAAGAAATAACTTTCCATAAACATTGTACACCCAGACCAGAGGACTATTTGGTGAACTACCAGTTAACAAACATGGAAGTTCAAACAATGGTATGAAGACTGACAAAAAAAACAAAAACAGAAAACTAAGCACTCTTCTCTCCTTGACAGGGAGGCATGTTGGGACAGCCTCTGTCAAGTAAAAAAGGGGGATAAATACACAGAAACATGGAGAAAAGCAAGACTGCTTCATTTGGGATAGTACAACACAGCGCATTTTTTCAAGTTTAACAGGAAGTGCTTTTTAGGTAGTTCAACAAGCTGTTTTGCAGCATTCTCAAGTTTTCAAATCAGCTGCAATTCAACAGGAGCAGAATTTCATATGGTAACTTTGTTAACCACCATCTGGAACAAATGCATATATCCATATGGATTTTTCTTCTGCCAAGGGAAATTGACTAAATATGAAAGGTAAAGTGGTTGGTACACCAAACTATTGGCTCTCCTCTTATTGAGGCCAGTATTTACCAATCTTTTTTATATAATAAAGGCACTCATGGAAAGACCTTTATATAATCGAGAAAGACTGTTCTATAACATTAATAAAGATTACAGTACTTTCCAAGTTCTAAGGTTAAGCACCTGTGAGAATAACCACTGCCTAAACATGGGAACACAAATTATATAGCCACTGGGATGAGATGTGGGTTTGCCTCTAACTCCAAATTACCCTGAATGCCTGTAGAATAACATCACTTATAGGATAAAACCTTCCCTGCTTTAGGGGTAACCTAAATTACATTTTTTTAGGTAAATCACAAAGGCAAACAATAATGCTAAATATACTGAATAGGAACAAGGGATACTGCTGATGAACAGAAAATTACTACCCCTTTTTAGCATCATATTAAATGAGACTGACAATGTGCACAACCAAATCATAGCTGCTTAAAGGTATGCAACTGTCACTGGAATGTACTGCATAACAGCAATAGCAAGATGCACTGAGTGCAAAGCATGCATATTAATGTATATAGGCGACATGTTCAGCATTTCTACATCCTATTCAATTTGGATTCTACTGCTATGACTTAATTCCCAGAGGGTTAGTCATTTTACCTGAAGGTAAAGAGTTAGCCACTGAAACGGGCTTCTTTCAAACAACATCTACTAACAGAATGAAGTCTTATTAATGGTGGTAAAGTAAATGGAAACAATACTCAATAGAGAAATCTTTAAAAAAATGGTCTCTAATATTTTACACTTTGTACAAAAAAAACATTTGAACAGATCAGCATTGTAGCCTGGGATATTGTGCAATTTGACAGCCCAATCTGATGCTCTTAATGAAATTTACCATTGTTTGAACTACCAAGTTCAAAATGCATTCTGAGTAAGCTTATTGCCTAAAGAACTGTACTAATTTTATTTTTAAAAAAGTAGAAGTAATTGGTATGGCACAAAACTTGTAAAGATCTTCTACTGTAGAACAGAGTCCAGAAAAAATGTTTCCTTCCTTTTGATAACTCCACTCCGAGGGAACAGCTCCATCAAATATGCCGTTCATCTGCACATTTTTAGACTGATTAGAAAATCTGTGGCCAAAACTGACACCTCTTCAGAAGTCCCCCTCCCCACTGTTAAAAAGGTTAGACGATTAAATATTAACATGTAATCAATAAAATGAATAAAAATGTCTTGGCACTGGCAGCTGTCCCTGGGCTTGAAAGAGAAACTGGTATCCAACCTGTTGCCTTTCCTGGTTTGTTCCCTTTAAAAAGAAAAAAAAGCAGCACCACCCCACTCAGTTTTTGCTTTCTCCTTAAGTTTCTCCCCAGCTACACTGTACATTGCATTCACTCTCCACATGCAACTGACCAAGTATCTTGGGAGCTTATGTTCTGAGTTTTTTTTTTTGAATGAAATGACAAAAATCCAATACAGGCACATAACATTCAGGAGGAAAAAAGAAAAACAAAAAAGAACACCTGAGAAAGCGGAAACCAATAATGATCAGAGCGCGGGAACGGTATAACACGGGCACGTCTCGTTGTTTCCGTGCCAGTATTTTAGATGTGCTGAAGGTTTCAGGGCAGGAAAACCACCCGCCTGTCTAGTGCCCATCATGAGTCGTCAACATTTCTTCAGCGCGGCGATGGGATTCCAAGGCTTTCACGGTGTAAATATCCTGAGGCAGCTCAGACTTGCGTCGCACCAGAGGCCGGTCCTTTCGCTGATCTCTCTGCAACTGTAGAGATGGTGCAATTCAGGCCAGATACACAAGACTTTCACAAAACTGGCTGCAAGCCACTAGATCCGACTACAGCTGCTGTAGTACGGTATGTTATAAGCTTGCACGGGGGCAGAGGATGGCGTTTCGTTTTGAGATCAGGATCAGGAAGTTTTTCTTCCAGCAAAATTCTCAGTAATACAAACCAAAACCTGAACTGAGTTATGGATCATTTGAACTGTTTGACCATGTTCAGCTCTTAATGTTGTAGATTGATTTTTAACTATAGCATTTCATTAGTAACAAAATGCCAGAGTTGCAAATGTCCCCAATTTCAAGCAACTTGATAGCTCCAATTAAGGGAATTAAGGGTTCAATCAAGCAATTAATGTAAGCTAGAATGGAAACCAGCAGGTGCTGGGAACCCCTGATATGAAGATATGACTACTGTGGATCTAAATCTCACTGCAAATGTTATTCACTCTAAACAATGTCCTGCACTAGAATATGTTCTAAACCATTACGTTTTACAATTTAAAAAGAGACGGTGAGATGTTCCTGCTCCTCAGCTCCAGATGTGAAGAATGAGTCAATAATTGTAACAGTGCGGTTAGTTTGGTCAGCATTTTACACTTTTTAGTCAAGAAAGGAAGTGTATATATACAGGTTATTGTTATATTGCAAACAAACAGGAACAGGGGGGGGGGGGGGTTATACATTAAAAAACATGCCAGTTAAAGGCACATATCCAGCTCAAGTAGTCTTTAATACAAAGTTCAGGCTTCTAATTAAACTGCTTGTGGGGAACAATCTTCTTGAGACCAAAAAAAACCCCAACTAAAACTTAAAACCTTAAGGCAAGACTTTCCCAACTCTGGTCCAGAGAACTTGCATACCTGCTTTATTCCAGTCAAGCTCATTATGCAATTAGATTCCTAAGTGTAATAAATAAATTTAATAAACTTCTTAATTGGAATCTTTGCAATTTTATTCTGTTTTAAAACTTGGTAATTATGTCATTTAGTAAACAATATAGAAAAGGAACAACTGGTGTGAAGAAGGCCCCACAGCCAAAACTTTGTTTCTTTTCAACATGGAATAAACCTTTACTTGTTCCTAAGGATTTGTTATGCAACAGAGCTTTGAGCTCTTATGTTCAAGTGCCTACAATAACCATAACATGATATCATTAGAATTTATTATATGGAACTGACTCACTGACCAATGCTTGTGTACTATTGTGTATTGTGTGGAACTAAATATTTTCACTAGTCAGAAAATCTAAACAGAACAGAACTGAGAAGAATTACAGCTTTTGATAGTGACTTTATAATTGCTTTGTGCAATGGTTAAATTCCAGGATAGTATTGGTAGACTTTTAAAAATAGTCTTGCTTCCACCTTTTACAACTGTTATGGCCTACAACAGCTTCAGAATACATCCATTAACTCTTCCATTCTCATTTGCTATATTTAAGGAGCAATATAGTACTGCTTATTTTTTGTAGCAAATATGCCATTCAACAAGAATGGTATTACCACCTCGGTTACAGCACTGTTTATTAAAAGCAAAAGGAAAGATGACCACTCACCCATGGAAGTTTTATGAAAGCATATGAAAATGTAGTAAATGAAAATAAGCAACATGCTAAGGTTAAGAGGGATATTCTACCCTCAAATCCATGCAGACGTTTGCATCCTACATAATGTTATTGATTCCAGTGCTCAGTCCATATCCTATCTTTGAAAGGCTTAGTGGTTGTGACTGCTATGATTAGAGGAGATTCATAAATTCATTTTTTTACCTGAGTAGCTTCTTCCTCTACAGTCTTTTTTAACATCTGAACATCTTCTATCAAGGGACCATCTGTCTCCATTTCTACTGGACTATTGAGGCCAGAGGAATCAACATACACATGGTACTAATATAAAAAAGCAAAAAAAAAATCCAAATCAGTTGCAAGCAGAGAAAGACAGAAGAGGAAATGGGAGAAAGAGGTTAACAGGAGGGAAAGAAGTAGAAAAATGGAATGAAGGAACCATTTCCTTAGAACATAAAATAATAAAGAATGATGTATAGACAGAAATAGAAAACAAAATGCAATTATGACCATTTGTCAAATGTGGGGAATGTCTAAGATGAATCTTTAGTAAATTCCATTATAAATTAGCTATAACTGTAAATGTCAATGTTTTGAAGTGTCAGTTTGCTCAAAACCTTTTAAGAACTGTGCTTTATAGGAATTAACAATGGTCAAATGATTAAACTGTCTGAAGTAAAGAATTACCCTAGTGATACAAGAGGTATTTATTTGGAGAAATCAATACAGAACAGAAGCTTTACAGTCAACTATAAAATCTGACCAATAAATCTCTAATGCAACTGCAAGGGTAAGTGAGTAAAACTTAGATCTCCAAATTAAAAAGTACATACAGATCAATGCACACCAACTGCTTCTCTCAGGATAATGCTTTTTATACTCTTAATATGCAATGTATGGAGTTGGTAGCTGGATGCAGTTTTGTGACGCACTTTCATGTTAGAGGAATAACTAGAACTCATTTAAAGGGCTTTAAAAAAAAAATCAAGCCCAGGATCAACCAAATTTCAAACCCAGGATGGGGACGGTAAAAAAAAAAGTGGCAGCAATTAAAGTTCTCTTAAACCCATTACAATAGTTATAAGAAGCAAAACATGGTTCTACATTTTAATTTTAAAACTGGGTAGGTCATTCAGTAAAGATCACTCATACTGCAGGACCCAAATAATAGCTTTTTGATTTTTAAGGTTTAGCTAGTGATCACAGCTCCTTAGAGATGGTAAGAAAACGTAACCAGGATGGGGTTTAGGGACAGCTGAGGGCTTGTATAACAATTCATCAGGAAACAGTGATACTGGGACTGATCATTCTGAGATTGACTTGAGTTCTGGGCATGGAATAAGGCAAGGTGCTGACATTCTGTAGCCTCAGCATGGTTGGTGCAGGGATTAGAATTGTACAGTGTAAGATAAAGATACAATCTTTAGATATGGCATGCAAGTAAATAACACCCTTTACAATTAGATAATCCTGTGACATGTTGTGAATTCAGCAAAGGAAAGAGTACAAACTAGTTAAATCTACAACTATAAATCAATTCTCTCAGATTGAATGTTTTTCTAATGTTTTCAGTCTCAAAAGAAAAACTACAGCTTCAGCAAAAACAAGCTACAATCTCAGTATTTTAGCTTTTGCAGCATAACAATCACTACTAATTTAATGGCCTGAAAAGCTTAAACTCAAATTCACAAAAATCTTCAGTCTGACATTCAGAAGAATGTCATAGAAATGAGGGAACCATTTTAATTGAGAGCTTTGAGGTTTTAAATAAGTACACAGCTTAGCTTACCGATATAATATATTGCAATCAGTGTGGCTAGGAGCTGTACTACAATAATGCAATGATTATACAAAGAGGTCATGAGTCATTGTTAAGAGCATCCTAAAGCTCTACTTTACAGAACTTCATACTGCAACAATGCATTACTTCAGAGGAGGAGTTAAAATAATAGCACTTGTGACTTTTCAGATCGTAACATACTCCAAGTGCAAATATTAATGTAACTGCAAGATTCATTAAATGTCTGCACCTGTGCAACAACTAATAGGTACGGTCATGTAGTAGCAAGTTAAAACCCAACATCACAAAAGGACAATTTAATAGTCAAAATATCTGCCTCAGACTTTAATAAAGGTTTCATTCTCCATCATCCCTGAAGGATTTTGTACTCTATGGAAAACCCTAGTTATTCCGACATGTGTGGCCACTATCAGAAGCGGTACAAGCCATTCATGTGTAAAATGCCCGCATTGCATTGCAAGGGATCCTGCCCCACTCCTGGACAAGCACGCGCCTCTTTACTCGTCTATGAGTCCTAGCCACGTTATCCCAGCTCATCCCAAAAACATTCAATGAGGATTATGCTTGGTGAGCAGGACATCCACGGCAGAACGGTGACTTCCCAGCTCTCAAGAAAAGCCTGTGCTACACAAGCAGCACGAGGGCGTATGCCACCGCTCTACAGCGTTCTATAACGACCAGATACTTCTTATTCTTGCACCTCCCCGATGACTGGTCTGCTGTAAACGATCAGGCTAGCAGTGTATTGTTCTGCACAACATCACTGCACTGTCTAATATCCATCCGAGACCCCTGATTTATTGCTAAGGAGGATTAAAGCACAACGCAACAGTTCACTGGTAGAGTCCAGCCTCCAAAATACATCTGGTACAAAAAGGCTGGTCCCTTAATATCCCAACAAACAATTTATTCCTTTCCGTGTTCTTTGGCAACAGGTTAAATCACCTGGTTTTATGCAGTACAATCTGTAGTAAAGTAATATCAGTTAAGAATGGTCCAATAATTAAAACGATGCCAAAAAAAATCAACACCCCAAAATATGAATACCTTATTTTTCTAAAGCATACATAAGTGAAAGGTTCCTATTGATGTTCAGAATATATATATACACACACACACACTGTTTTTTTTGTATAGATCACAGACCAGATATTCACATGCTTCAACACATGGTCGCTGTACCAATTTTAAAATGTTCTTTTCAGCAACAGTTAAAAATACTCTGTGGAAAAACATCTTACGTAACAAAAAAAGGACAGTTTCCATTTGTGCTCTGCTTTTGTGAAAAACAAAACCCAGTACATTTAGTTTTGGAGCAAAAATCTGTGGCAGCTTTGAGTGCATTAAGTATGTTAGTAATGTTAAAGAAAAAATATCTGTAGCACTGTTTATGTGCTCACTGACCTGTGGGTTTGATTTGGCAAGAATTTCAATCTTAATCCAGGCCTCCTCCCTCTCTTTTGACTTTACCTTCTCTCTGTAAATAACAATAAAATTTAACTCTGGAGATCTTATTTTTTTAAAAGACAATTTGAAAGCAAAAATCCTTACATTTATTCTATGGTCATGTACTTATATTTGTGTGATCATCCAATTTAGGTCTAGAAGAGCTCATTACATTTTCCACAGCAAATAAAGACAAATACTTGGGTTTACAGACAACACTAATTCTTAAGTTTATGGTTATTTTAAATAAGAGTGAAATTAATCTTTGTTTCTTTTAAGAACGTTAAATTGTGTATGTATAATTAGTGAAGCAGAAAACTTTAAAATGATCCCACAAAACATAGCGACCTCTATTCAAGTAAAAACTGTTACAAAAGTCAGATAACAGACAAGAACTGTATACTCATGCTTGGGGGGGGGGGGGCAGATGTCTGGATCTTCACATGTTTGTTTATATAAAACATCAGTGTACACTTACTTATTCTTTTCTGCTCTGAACTGTTGAGTACAATCATCAAACAGCTTCTGATTCATTTCCATGAAGAGCTTCAGAGCATTGTAGATCAAACCATGGATGGTTCTGTAAATTAAATATTAGAAGTATGATACAAGCTAGTCATAAGTAAAATTAAGCAAAATTCAAGAAAAAAGTGGGCAAATACATATTCACTCAGTAAAGCAGAGAAAGCACGAATTTTAAAAGTAGTCAGCATTTTGAATATAGTCTTACTTGTTCCAGTGAGTCTTTGAATTGCGATACAGAGATGGGAACATGATGGGCAAAATCTTGGCTGCATTGTCGCTGATTAGGCTCATTATGTACTCATTATTCCAATAGTACAATGCTCTTTCTGCAACCTAAAAAAAACACATCTTAGCAAGTCTAGGACAAAAAAAAGCAAAATCACAACACTGAAAATAAATAACATTTTAGACTACATTAGTAAGCTTTTCAAGTACATTAGCCAACTCAAAATTCGAACCAAGGTAAAAATAAATGGAACGGCTTTAGGAGATAAATTAAAATAGCATAATAGGCACAATTGCCAGCCCTTATCCACTGCATACTCTCCCCTAGCTGGTGAATGCGTTGTTTAAAATTGCATCTAAACCATGAGACTTAATTGTTTACTGACAAATATGCAGCAGATAAAGTGATACAATTACTGACCTGAAAATGCGGACTGGAAACACACTTTGCCAGCTGTCTAAATAGAGGCTCCATGACCTTCACAAACTCTGATGGTTCAATTACATCCAATATTTCCTCTAGCTCGTTAAGAAACATAACTTCCTTTGGACTGTGGGTCTTTGGCCAGTATTTGAGAAGTGCCATAACAACCTTGCGAAATGAAAAGGAAAGAAGTTTCTTCTTAATGTGAAAATAGGAATTTGGCAGGAAAATGTCAGCATGTCATGACCAAGGCATTAACGTAGCCAATTTAATATTTATACACTTGATATTAATCTCTGCCAGACACGTTATACTGTGGTAACATTTATCAGGCTTCGCTTGATCTTGTCAGCATGAATGTTACCGACAAGTCCTTTAAGAAATAATGACCGCTATCTTTTGATGGGAAACAATAGATAACCCTTGCTGGCAACATAAAAAATACCATCCAAAAAAAAAGACATTAACACTTGCATTTGGATGTAAACAGTCCTTTCTAGTCCCTACCCTGAAAAGACGTTTCCACGAGCAGGCTGAAGACCATTAGATGTCAGGTTATCAGTGATTAAAACAATATCACAGCCTTTTAAAGATTTTTTTTCTGCTTGCTCCCTTCGTACACAAGTATCCAACAACGTACGTTTCAGACACACTTTCACTAACCTTAGGCAAAGATGGTTGTCCGGTAGTATACAGTCATTTAGTGCCTCACTTGATACCCCATGGTTGCCAAAGAAGCCAACAAAATAGGATTACTGTATTTAAACTATTCTTTACCTAGTCTATCATTTAGTATCAGCATGTATTTCCTCAGCAGAGCACGCAGCTCACTTTGGTATGTTCAAGTACAATATTTTACATCTTCCATTAAGAGAAATAGCTGTGAAATGTCTACAGGTTTTCATGACAAAGTTTTTTTTAAATCTGAGACCCGAACAACACTTAAGTGATTTTAATTTGTGAAAACAACTGCACAAAATAACTTACTGGTTCAGTGAGAGTGCTGTCCTTCTCTAGAAACTGAACAACACAGTATGCCAGCTAAAACAAAAACACAGGAGATTAGGTTTTATTCACTTTAAAATGTATATTAGTATACATTGTGTACATTGATATACAACTTAAAACTAAGGGAAGATTTCCGACAATGCTACACTTAATCAATGGTCAACACCAAAAAAACCAAAGGTTTTCCATCATGTCTCTCAATTTCGTCTGGCAAATTGTATCAGAAAAGTGATCACATAAATGATGCTACTTGCGTTTACCTCAGTTTGTAATGTAAGTGACATGAAATTGATTTTTATATAAACTGAGACTTATGAATTCAAAACTGAATACACTTTAATAAATCACTTAAATTCTAAAGTCTAGAAACCAGAAATTAAACCTGAAAAGCCTTAATCTTTTTCTTCCCCATATATTAATTGAATTTTGAAAAATTACATAAACAAGAGCAATGTTACTGATCCATCCATCAACAAAACAAATGGCTATGGAAGTACCTTTGGTATCTATTTGTATTAACTATAAAATGTACAGATACTTCAAAAAGCCAACTGCTTAAGTACTCAACTTGATGGAGAAATTAGTATTTTGGTTTTAGTAATCTGGTGCAGGGTCAGGTTTTGCCCACACAATAGTCTGTTTCTCATATAATGGCTTATATCTGTTATCTTACTGGAGCATAAGCAGAGGTATGGAATGAAATAACCTTTGGGATGACCATCAGTTTATTTTCAAACTCAAATAACTTTCTGCTCTTAAGGTCTGGCTTTATATTAGCCATAACATAAAAACTTGACAGTATCAGATCTGCACTGGCTATACAATCATTCTTTTGCTTTTATGGGGCACTAACTAGCCAGAAACGTATTCAGAAAGGGATGTTCAATGTAGATGTAAAAAACGTATTTTAATAAGTTCTGGTTTTGCAGCTAGGTTGTATTCATTTGCACTGAATGGACCTGGTAATTCTTTAAAGCAAAAGAACAAAAATGTTACCTGTGGATGGTAGACACTAAGTGACTTGACTTTGTGCAAAGGCAGCAAAACTTTCAGTAAGAAAATCTTGTGCTCTTCTTTTAATGGTAAGGCAAATCCATTAATTATGCTGTCAAGAAAAAGTGCATTATTTATATGCTGAATAATATTAAACTACGTAGGGATGGTTTTAATTTCAAATGCCCATTTCCAAAAATAAAACTTTTCAGTTGTAAAGAACACAGGGCCAAATATTTCATTAAAGGTGTTCTTTGCATTAAAACAAAACCAAAAACTTTTTATACTAATGAAAAAAAGCACTGCGCTGTCTCACATCCTATAAAATCCGGCACTGTGGTTTCTGAAAAGCCATGATTAAAATAGCATTTAGAACAGAAAAAAACTAAATATTCACCAGCAGAAAAACTAATGAAAAATGCTGAAATTAATAATAATTAAAAAAAGCAGAATATCAAACCTTAAAAAGTCAACCAAACCTTACTTAATAGTTCAAATGCATCACTAATATGATCACACTGTGTAAGAGGAGCAAAAAACATCCTGAACTTTTATGCACATTAAGTCTTGTACACAATCATACTTGTACACAATCAGTTTTTATTTTGAACTTACAGTAGTTAGCTTTAGCTAGATAACAGTGCAGTGAATACGTATTAGTGTTTCAGTACACCTAAATAGGCCTGGAACAACCCAGTTTAGCTTTTAGAGTAGAGAACCACACTAACACACATTTGTAGTCCTGCTGGCTCAAAACTGACAAATGGCTTAACTTAAAAAGTTTCCAGTCTGCAAGGGCCTCCTGCATTTCAGCAAAATAAGCACATTTCCAAGACAGAATTAACTTTTGAGAAAAACTGTAATGTTATTTTAAATATGGTGCCTGAAAAAAAACGTCCAGCTGTGCAGCATGAATGGCAGTAAAAATAAAAGCATACCTTCCCAATATCTCCAGTAGTTCAGCAATTCCATTGTGGTGTTCCGTTTCATAAATGAACCTAACAAATTAAGAGGTAAAAAGACATGGTGGAATGTACCATAGATCTACTATTTCACATAACACATTTAAAAACTAACCTAAATGTACCTAAATGAAAATGACATAAAATTAACTTTACAAAACTCTCCAATACAGGTTCAGGATTTGTGCATCCATGTTAAAATATTCAGGTGCAGACAGTTTTCCTTTAAACATCCACTCCTGCCAAACTCACCTATAAAATATATTATTGATCTGTTTCCTGATATATGCCCTTAGACCAAGAAATTTGCCATAGATCCTGTGAAGAGTCGTTTTCAGGAAATCCCTCTCACGTGGATCCTCACTGTCAAAGAGTTCTAAAAGCTGGAAAGAAAAGCAAATTTTTAACGTCTGCTTTATGTATGAAATTAGTCCATTAAAATAAAAAATATATACAACTTACCTGCAAAACAAATTTCTGGTCAATGTATTTTTTAGCTATATTTGGTTGGAAGTCTGGTGACTCTAAAAACCTAAGAAAAAATTCATAGACAAGCTGGAAAAAGAAAAAAGGAAGATTTAGGAACATGACAATATGGGAAATGATGTTTCTATTTTAACCTAACAACCAGATTAGGAAAATGAAGGTTACTCTTGGTTTTGAAAAATTGGAACAGATCAGTATAGACGAACCAGGTACTACTCTCACTTAAAAAAATGAGTCTTTAAATACCAATTTGAACAGAAGGCCCTTTTAATTATTAACCTTCTTGAAGCTAATGAAGTTTTTAAAGTAATGAGCTAAGCTGTGCCCTCCAAGAGCTAGAACACGGCAACAGAAGGAGATACCTGTAGGTGTGGCCACGCAGCTTCAAGTGTTGGCTCATCTTCCTCAGGATCAAATTCTGCTCCAGTGGGATTGGAGGATGGTGGTAATGTCCTAAACATGTTCACTGAAAACTTGAGAAGGAGGGAAAAAGAAAATCAGTCGGCCGACCTGGTGTTTTCTATACACCAAAAACCCACGACAATAGCAGACTGACAAACGCCATTAATGCAGTTCAATGGTTTGAAGTCCTTGGATATTTAAATGCATTGGTACACTTGAATTTAATGTAGCACAATTTAATTTTGATGAGACAAAATTCAAAACGGTGACCGTAAACTAAAAGCAAGATTAAGGAACGCCTTCTTGCACTATGTTTTGGGCATTTGCTGGCCTAAAACCTTTAAACAAAGGTTTGATCAGCATCTGGAGATTGATCATTTTTTGTACCCGCAAACTGCCACAGCCACATGCCCAGCTCCTACTGTCACCATCAAAAGTATTCACCCCGTCACCCCTTTGGGCTTCGCCACATTCTGCATTGCAATATGGAATCAATTTATGCAGGATTGTTTTTTAACATTGATCAACACCAAACTCTACAATGTCAAAACCCAGGACAACAAAGACTTTAATGCAAAAAAGTTCAAGTGGGGTGAAAACTTGATAGAATACAGATCCATTATTCAATAGAAAGTTACTCTTTGCTCCATTCCACCATGGTGGTTTTAAGTAGAACATGAAAGGATTCAGAGGTGTACTTAAAAGTTACATACAACACAAGGGCTTTTGTTCATCGATATAATCATAGTGCTATTCACCCCGACGGCAAGAATTGGCATATGAAAGTGTAAAACTTACTGTTGAATAGTAGTACTATATGTTAATGACCATTGCCTTTTAGTGAGAACAGCTTGAAGGCTAATATGATTCAATCAAGCCGAACACAAAGGTTACTTTGCGTAAGGTTGGTTGTGCCAACAGATCTGCTTCATATTCTGCAACACAGTTGACAGTCTGTGCACTTGAATTTCCACACGTTGCTCTGTTCTAATAACTGGCAAGATCAACTTGGTTCTGCTTTCAACATAATTAATCACAAACTTCCTTAAACTTTCAAGAATGCATTTAATTATACAAACATTCCTATTCAATGTAGAAATGAAATAAGAACAGAGCCCCTTAAGCAGATATCGCAAGCTTCCAGATCTGTGTATGAGAGGGGCGCATAGCAAACTAAATGAAGAAGTTTATTTTTCAGCAATGGTACAAATAACACATTTTAAAAGTTATTTATTCAATTAAATGAAACGTTAAAGGGAACTGAAAACTTGAAACCGTTTGCAAACAAAATTCAAATTAAGATCTGTAAAGAGTGGCAAATGTTTTTCCTTAAATAAAGTGGCAATATTTAGATCATTTAACCTAAATTATGCTTTGATGGGGATATAATTACCAATCAAGATTTGTTTTCACAACACTGGTGCAAATGCTAATGAAAGTACTATGATGATTATTTGTTGCCAGTCTTGTGGCTTTGATGATAAAAGAGTGCAACTTCAAAGTTAATTTACATTCTGAAAAGAAGGGAATCTGAAGCTGGACTCATTTTTCAAAGAACATGTTACATTTACAGGCTCAATTGTAACAGTTATGCTAAACAGGAAAAGATACCACTTTGATAAAAATCAAAGCATTCTGATTTAGCTTCTAACCAGCACACACTGAATATGCAACCAATTGAACACCTTGTCTTCACTGCACATCAATAAGGTAGGTTTTTAGCCTGCAAAGCAATAACTTAAAAAACATGATATTGCTGGGTTATTATGTTGTTAATCTATACACTTTTGTTCAGAAGTACTAAGCTTCCTCATATAATATTCTTCAATTAATTGGAAACATATTTCAGCAAAGGTTTTTATAGCAGCTTCATACCTGCATTCATCTAATCTCCACCAAAGTATATTAAAATGGTTAATCTTTTGGCAAATTTGGCAAAAAAAAAGGCAAATTTCTACAATCAGTTTGTACTGATCGACAATCAGAGCTACTTTGACACTCTTTAGACAACTGACCGGGGTTTGACCTCAGAAATATAAGAGTTTGTAACTCAGCTGAGGTATTCTACTATTTTACAAATCACAGCATATGCATTACAGCACCATTCACTAAAGTTAAAACTACACCATAATGCAATGCTGTCCTCTGCAGCACTTTAACATAAATCAGATTGATTTTTTGTTTTGATTGATTGTACAGATTGGTTTGTACATGTTAAACCTTAATAGAACCTTAGTACTTTTTATACATTTGAGTGAATCAATAATCAGTTTAACAAAATATTAATATAAAAAATGACTGTGGTCAAGTACTGCGAGTATCCACAGTAAGATACAAAACACATTGTCATCTTTGTAGAACCAACCTTGCAGGAACTCAAGACATTTCAGTTTATTTCTAACTATTGATAAGGTCTCTAAATGTAGGATACTGGCACTCACCATATGAACGGCATCTGGATATACGTGCTCTGTGATGACATTTCTGTTGTGCGTGATGTACTCCACCATCTCACTGAGATCTGTTCTTTTAATCTCCTTCCACTTTAGGTCACTTAGTGGATCCGAAACAAAGTCAAACAGGATGCAGCACTGCTGCAGCTTCTGACGAAAAAGCTTTTCATGTTCCGCAGGAGGAACATCTGCAAAAATAAAAGATATGTAACTGTTAATCCAATTACATGCATATACATGTGAATATATAAAACCACACATGCTCATACTTCTTTCCAACAAATCTCAAACATTGATAAATTCAAACAATATTAAAACATTTGTCATTTGCAACAATAAGACGGATCAAAAAGTGTATACAACAAACAACATAGGGATAGAAGGATCAAAATAAATTTCTAAACAGCATAAAGTTTGGTGAAACAATGAGAAGATAGGTTTGACTAAGTTTAAGCAGCAAATTATCAGGTTAAAGAAAAACATTTCCCTTTCACTCAGACCTGAAAGGTGCCTTTGCACCTCCCTTTTCTTTGGGTCTGTTGAACTTTTAGCACAGCATTGGAATATAATAAGTAACAAATATGGTGTAACACGATATTAACATCCACTTAAATAATGCAGTTAAAATATTACCAATAAATTGCAATCAGGAATTAGTGCAATGTATCAGATTAGGTGCTATACAACTATAGCATGGTTCCTTTAAACACCTGCACTGAACAACAAAGTGGAAATTAGCAACTGAACTATTTAATCTAAGAAAGCTATATGGCATTAAAAGCTAAACTCAATGGGAGCTTTCGTCAGTGTTGCTAGGAGACAGCCTTGGCACAGACCTCTTGATCTGGTAAGGTGGTGAAGAATGAGAACAGGTCCTGAATACTGCTAAGCTTTCCTGATTCTCAGAGAAACTACAGATTCATTTCCAATACAGGAGATGGTCTCAAATATACAGTACACTGCCCAAGTGGTCACACGTGTATGCGAACGGTCCCTTTTACAGAACAAGCATTGCAAATCAATTTGATTTAACTACCTTCTGTGACCCATAAACAAACCCACTTCACAATGCTTGCATTCTTAGAAACCAACTGTGCGCTTCTGGCTGCCTTTTTAATAATTTAGCCATTTTGCACATTTAAAGTGCAGCTCTAAAGTGGTTTGATTATACAGCAATTGTATAAAGTCCCTCAAACAGACTAAAGTGTTTTTAGTATACTGTACATTATCAATTATTTAGATTTAATAAAGTACATCAACAGTATTGAACCTTGCTTGTCAGTAACATGCAAGCGTTTACTGATGTACCTCATTGGAACTGAAGACTTATGTTGAAATTAATTTCACATCTTAAGCTGCAAAAGCAGAGTGAATTTCTTTCCAATTATTTACTGGAATTTAATTAACAATTGTATTAGGATTAAGAAGAACTCAGAAGCGATAAAGAAATGTGTCACTTTTTTAAGAATACTAAAATTACCAATGGACTAGGCACATGAGCGAAACGGTTACTGAACACACACCTTTAAAGCTGGCACACTTATTACTCCAATGTTAAACCATTCAAACAATGCACTTTAAAAACAGATTTTAAATGTCCCTTTCATGGCAATCAGACTCATCACAAAAATTAGGATACCTATCCTCCAATCCCCCTCCATTCAGCAAAGGATTATACATGCTTGTTTCAATGCCTCAGGCAATCTGGGAAATGTGCATGTGTCAGTCCCAATTAATCTTCCTGTTAAATTGAGCAAACTGATCCAACATGCTAGGGTCAATGCCAGGTTTAAAATGGGGCTTTTAATGGGGGTGTTACATGTTTTCAAAATGGAAAAAAAATTATATAGATGATCATTTGCTGATGGTTTGTAGTAATAAATGAGACACTGAACACCGCATGAAACTTCACTTCACGCACTCATGTCATTTTGGTTATAGATGAGGTTTTTATGCAAAAAAAAACTGAAAGCTTTGCCGAGGGTAGCAGTATTGCTTCCTCCATAGTACACAAGCTTCAGAATATTTTTTTAATATAGTACATCTAAGGTAAATCATTGCAAAGTGAATTTGTAATCTAACAAAAAAAAAACAGAATCTATAATGAAACAGACCAGAAGAAAGAAATGGAAACAGAGTTAGCGTATCTAAAATCATGAACAAGAGGCACTTCTTTACACATAGGCCTTTCTCTCCAAGCAGACACCATAGTTTCTTTCAAGTAAGGGCTGGATGGGATCCTTCAGTCAATCCTTCAGCTACCAATTGATCTACTACTCATTTGCTACCAGTTATATGCTCTTAAAGCAATGCAATACAACAGGTAGAATTTGCAAGGGCCAGAAAAGCCTTGTGCATTATAACTCACTAAACAAACATGTTGAAATATCCACCTTGATGATTGCTCAGTGACACTTGTAATGCTAGTCAGTTCATGGTTTCTTAGCAGCTATGCTGCGCACACTGAAATAACAGGCATCTTGTTTGTCATTAAGTGCCATGATGACACTGAAGAATAAGTCACTGCCTCAAGTCACCCAAACTAGATGTGCTTATCTGAAATAGTACATGTAGTGCCCCAGCTAACCTTTCATGTTTACCAACTTCATATATAGCAATAATAGCTTACTCTCATTCAAACTTTACAAAGCACAGATTTAGCGATGCACGCACTTCAGTTCTAATCATCAGCTATCCGCAGTAAACCCTCAGAAGGACTCCATTTACTGAGGCTCAATGGGATCTTGAAAAAAGTAAAAATACCAGCAAGTAGTTTTCTTTTTTTATCAGTTTATGCTGTGATTTATTATTCTTTGAATGAATAGCAGCATTTTCTCAGAAAATTAAGCATCTGATTGACAATTTTAAGAAACATCACAGAGCAGTGAGTCTGCATATAATGACCATTGAAAATAAATGTATGGCATTCCCAACCTTTGTGTTCTTTAAAAAAGAAATCAGCCATATCAAAAGTAGTACATAGCTACCATTACCGTCCTCTGAATTGGATTGACTGGAAAAGGCTTTTCAGCAATGCAAGGTAATTTGTAACCTATTTTGCGAATTCTCCAGAGATTATATTAAATTAAGAAATTAAACAATTAGTCATCTAAAAATATCTTAAAATAGAAAGAAATTGTAGTTTCTACAAAAGATATTGGGAGCCAGACCAGAACACTACAGCAATATGTGTTGAGTGTAAATTTGATCGCACAATTGGCCTTCATGTTGAAATTTCGAAGAGAAAAGTCATTTTTCCATAACGCCGATGCAGATTTCGCTTTTAAAAATACTTTTCCTGCTCCTTTCCTGGATTACCCAGAACCCATATTTCAGGATTTATCCACAAATTGTTATGGTTGTAATCTGGAATACAAAATCCAGCTCAAGATATTAGTCAATGTTCAGGAGACTTTTAAAACAATTGATTTAAGAACATTTCAAACTGGTTTTAAAACTATGGCATTTCTAACCTGACCAAACTGGATACACATTTAAACTGATAAAATATGCTTAAGCTTGTGGCTGTAAAATCAGTTTAGCTCTTTCAGCTTGCTATGCTACTGCATGAAGAATACAGGCACCAATGTTTCTGAGGGTGCTTACTCTGCAGCAATTCCAGTAAATAGCAGTGCTCATTTCCTGATAGCCACATTCTCACCAGTTTCTCAATTTCACCACAGAACAGCAAATAGGAATGTGTTTGATACTAAGCACTCAAAATAGCCAGGAAGCATTGCAATATATGTCGTTCAAGGCTCAGAAAAGACAACCCCTGGTCTTTCTGCATATATAAATTAGCAGTATATTTACAACCACTCCCTCTACTTCGTTAACGGATCTCTATGTATAGGCTTTTACTTATCTTCATTATGCTTCTTTTACACGTAAAATGGGAAGTAATGCTCAGGTTTTGCAAGACCATTTCTAAGAAGATTTCAATATCTCACGAGTCTCTTTTTCCATGAGAATTCATGAGCTAAAGACCTGTTATTTTCACACGGTTCTCCAATGCATCTTGTACACTATAATAAACACATACTAGCATATCATTCCTACCTTTTAAATGAAAAGGCATTATCCACAATTTAAGAGCATGCATAAGTGTTCTTTTATTTAGTATTTAAGTTTACTTGTCTGTTCTTACATCCTTTAAGAGACCGATTTTTCTTAAATTTACACTACAGGGGGGATAATGTGATATTCCAGACACAAAAGTATTGAAATGACCTTTTCCAGCACCGGTAATTTTAACAGCAAACTTGTCAACTCCAACCTACACCACCAATGAAAACCACTTAAAAAGCAAATGAATTAAAGGGGTGAATCTATTTAATGACTCAGCAACCTAGAGAGAAAATAGGAATCCATCTTGATTTGTCCTCTCGTCAAACCCACACTTCCATAGGAGGAATATCCTGTCGAGTTTCGAAATTACACAGTAGAGCTATTCCGAGGAATCCTTAGAAACAAATACAACAGCAAAACAAAAAAACTTTAGTTCGCCTGCAGGAAACAGGGCAGGAGAAGGAAACAAGTGCAGTAAACAGCCTTTCCTTTCAAAATCCACAGATTCTGCAGTCTGGTGGCACAGTAAAAATTAATGGCCTGTGTAAAAAAGAAAATTGTAAAATGGCTGTGAGGTATACCCTCATCTTGATCTAGGCACCAGGAATTCATGGCCACGATCAAAAATGAAGCTAAAATTCCACAGTATCTCCAACATGTAATAACCAGTGAAAAAAAAAATATACATATGAAACTCAAGGTTGCTTTAAAATGTGTTCCAACACACCCACTTCAGATTGTCAGTGACCACGTAGAGAGGTGATCAAGCACATTCAAATGAGGACCTGAGCACTGAGGCAAGAGGTTATCTCAGCCAGCGCCAAAAAAAGAAAATTTGGAGATGCTTTAAAATGGCATAGGAACATCCACAAAAAAAAAGACAATAGAAGCGATTGATTTATTCATAATTATGGCTCCTATACTACATAAAGCTTCAATACTCACTCGTTAGTGAAAAGGGGCAGTAAAATGGTTGAAAACATTTGGCTGTGTAATGCCAACTACAAATGTGTGATGATCCAAATACCGTACTAAAACCTAAAAATAAAGTAACAGATTTCTGCCATAATACAATTTAAAATTACTTCCATTGTGTTACTAACATAGTAAAAAAACTAAA